GCGCCCCCCCTCCCTCTTCTTCTCCACCATCCCCACCCCCCCCCTATCTACCTACAACCCTATATATTTCCCACAACCCACCTCCTCCCTCCCTCTTAACCCCCCCTCCCTCACCCCCCAACCACACCTCCGTCTTCCCGCCCCCACCCCTCCCCCCCTCTAACCCGCCACGTACCCCTCCGGCAACCATCCACCCCTCTCCCTTCCCCCTTTGGCTACCCCCCTCCCCCACCCAACCTCCCTCTCCCACCCCACCCTATCCTAACCACACACCCCTCCGCCTCCCCCACTACCCACACACCCCCTCCTCCCCTCCCCCACCCACACCCCCTCCCTCCCCCTCCCCACTACCCACACACCCCTCCTCCCACCGCCCACCGCTCACCCCACACACCTCCCTCCCTCCCCCCCTACCCCTCCCCCACGACCCACACCCCTCCCTTCCCCCTCACCCACTACCCACACACCCCTCCCTCCCCCTCCTCCCCCCTCCTCTTCTCACCTGCGCTTCTGCGGCCAGATCTGCGTCTTCTTAGCCATGGCGACGCGGAGTTCCAGCTGCCGCAGTGGTCGCCGGTGAGCAGCGTGGCCTCCTCCCCGCCCCCCTCGGCCCCCTCCCCCACCCACCTGACGGCGGCCAGGCTGTCCATCTCAGGTAAAGCATAAGAGAGTGGAAGGTGTTGCTGTGAGTTTTGTTGTTGTATGTTAATCCAATGCATGCACTTTGTGGTTATCATTATTATGATCATTATCTTTATGAGCATATTACTTCTAGGTTGATACTACTACTACTAGTATTATGATAACAATGATAATAATGATGATAATAATAATAATAATAATATAATAATAATAATAATGATCAATACTGGTACTAATGATAAAAATAATAATAATGATGATGATGATCATAAAATAATATAATATTGTAATAACAATAATGACAATGATACTAATAGCAATTATGACTGATAACAATAATCATAATTACAATAATATTCACATTGATAATGGCAGTAATATCATTGATAATGATGATAATAATAATAATGATAATAATAATCATAATAAAAATTATATCAAAATTGATAGTAATAATGATGGTAATAATAATAATGATCACAATGACAACAATAATATAAAAGTAATTAATACTATCACACGTTAAGAGAATACATTATCATCATCATCATTAGTATTATGACTGATTTAGTAGCACTTGAAGTATTGTCATTCTCACCATAATTAACATTGTATATTGTTGACGTTATCATATTAATCAACACTTAGTACATATATTTGTCCGATCCTGTCATAGAACTGACAAGGTACATCTCCTCTTCTTCTCTTCTTTATTCTTCTCTCTCTCTCTCTCTCTCTCTCTCTCTCTCTCTCTCTCTCTCTCTCTCTCTCTCTCTCTCTCTCTCTCTCTCTCTCTCTCTCTCTCTCTCTCTCTCTCTCTCTCACACACGATACACACACACACACACAACACACACACACACACACACACNTAATAGTGACTATCACTCTGTCCCATCTATTTATCTATCTATCTATATATATATCGGTCTGTCTATCTTCTTGTAATGAAATTTATATTGATATGATACTGACGAATGCCATTGATAATGAGAATGCAATAAATAGTAATATGATAATAATGAGAGTGACAATGACAATAACATCAAAATTAAGAATAAAAAAATGCATATATAATAGAAATAGTAATAAGGATAAAAAGGGTAATGATAATAATAACAGTAAAGACAATACTACTACTAGTAGTAGTTATGTTTAAAATTGTAATAATAAAAATAATAATGATTATAATAATGATGATGATGATAATAGTAATAACAATAATAATGCTAATAATGATCATAATAATGATAGTAAGAATAAAAATAAGAATATTAATCATAATGATAGTAATGATAATGGTGATAATTACAATAATGATGATGATAATGATGATGATAAAAAGAAGACAGGGATAGTAATAAAGATAGAAGTAATAGTAATAGTAGTATGATAATGATAGTGATAAGGAGAGAATTCACACTGACAGTGAAAAGGCTAATTATGATGGTGATGATGATAGCATAGTATTGACCATCCCAGTAAGAGTAATAATGATGGCATGATGAAGTTGAGAATGATTTTGATAACGAAAACAACAGTCGAAGGATGGAAATAAAATGACGTATGTAAATGAAACTTGTTCAGTTATTGTTACAATCTATGCAAACGAAGTAAAATATTTCCACATATCCGGCCCAGATTTCAACACTAAAAAAAATGAAAGATTAAAAAAAAATGGAACTTGTGTTAGTGTAAAATTAACGTAGTTTGAATATATGAATAATCGAATATGTATGAATATAGAAAGAGCAAGTTGTCACAAGGAAAATATTCTTCCAGAAAAATTGTATAAAAAGCTGATGTATTATGAGTAAGTATACTATATTAGATATACCGTATACATGATATGTTCTGTGATCACCCTGTCTATTCTTATCTTATTGCTAGTAGCAGTAGTTTTTTCATTACAATCATCATTATCATTGCTGTCATTATCATCGCTATTATTTTCATCATCGTTGTTGTCACTATGGTGATTAATATTATCATTAGCATCAGCATTTTCATCTTTACGATCATTGTTATTATTTACATTATTATTGTTATTATCATTATAATTATCACTATCATCATTAGCATTACTTTTACTATAATTGTTATTATCATTATAACTACTACCATAATCATTATTGCCATTATCATCATTATCATTACTGTTACTATTACTATCATTAATTTCCTTATCATCCTTACTGTTGCAACCATCATCATTAGTAGTAGTAGTAATATCATCATCATTATCATCATTATTATTGTTATCATTTTTATTATTGTTATCGTCATCATCATCGTTACCATCACCACGTTACTATTATTAATATTGCTAGGATTATTATCATTATCATTACTATCATTATGATAATATCATTATCACCACTATTGTCATCACTATTGTAATTATTTTTATTATCCTTACTTTTGTTATTATTACTATTATCATTATTGCTATTGTTATTATTATTATTGGTATTATCAGGTCTGATTATAATCATCGTAATCTTCATTATAATTATCATCATCATTATTGTCAGTATCATTATTATTATCATCAATGTTATTATTTTCTTTGCTACTACTACTTTTATTATTACTATTGTTATCATTATTATCATCATCATCATTATTATTATTATTACTATTATTATTATTATTATTATTATTATATTATATTATTATTATTTATTATATTATATTATTATTATCATTATCATTATCATTACTATTGTCATTATTATCATCATCGTTTTTATTACTATTACCATTATTCATATAAGTATTACGATTATCATTAGTATTATCATCATTCTCATAGTTATTCTTACTTTACCAATGCAATTATCATCTTTATTATCATCATTATTAGTGTTATTATCAATGTGTGTTATTATTATTAGTAGTAGTAATAGTAGCAGTAGTATTATCATTATTATTATCATTATTATTATTTATATTGTTATTATTATCATCATTATTATCATCCTCATTATTATCATCATTATCATTATCATTATCATTACCA